AAAATTGACAGATAGTCCCAGATAGTGTAACATCTTCAGCAGTGTAAACTTGTCCTAAAGAAGCTCAACATGACTAAGTTTAAAGGTAGGTAATGAAACCTATTAAACGATTACTTAGTACTGATTATTTTCGCTTATGGTTTATAGTAGTTTCTAATCTTTTTTGTGTTTGTTTATCATTTCCATAATATAGATATATTAATATTTCATAAAATAATTTTGAATAAAAATCCATAGCGATCAATCAAAAAACATAAACATAACCTTACCTCAAAATTTAAGGTTTTACAATTCATGATAAATAACATCCGAAAATCCAATTGCTTTTTTGACCGTCCGCTGTTAATTGTCCGCAAATTTACTCCAGGATTACTGCGCCGATTGTTTTAAGATCTGGAATTGAAGTCGAAATCTCTTTTGGAATATCTGTGTCTCTACAAACTATATCGCTGAAACGGACGTAACGATTTTGATGAAACTTGCCTAAAATCATCTCCTTGAAACCCCATAAATTTATGTATATGTAACATTGTTCCTTGAATATGGAAAAAAGTTACAATGAATACAGAACTTTATTAGATTTTTATTGTTTATACTTAAGTTAAATCTTTTTTTATGTATAAGATAATAAAATTACCTAAAAAAACGAAAAAAAAAACTGTAGAAACTGGACTTCTTGGTGCAGAGATATGGCGTTTTCTGATGTTTGTGTATGTTCTAATCAAAAGTCGATTTCTTTGCTTTATAAATCGGAAATAATAGTGTATAAAAAAAAAATGACCGTTTTATCTAATTCAAGATTTCAAAAGACTGTAAATATTTTAATCTTATTTAATACTTAATAATCCCTTTAGAGCATTATCTAAACTTGTTTAATCCCATTCGACTTGTTTGAAAACAAACTCTGTTTAGTCATTTGTTTCAAATAAGAAACATGACAGTGTACTACGAAATTCCAGTAATTTTAAGGCATTATTGAAAAAAAAAAAGAATGCGCAACTGGTGAAATTATTATATATGAATAAAAAAGGTGTCCTTGACCAGCGCACTGTGTGGCGTTGATTTGAAAAATTTAGCAGTGGAAATACGAAGCGACCATTAAAGGATATTGATGAGGTTCTGCAAGAAGCTGTTTAGTGAAATAAGTCCACAAGTACTCGCGAACTTGTCAGGAAGTGTGGTGTGTCGAAAGATACTGTTAGTCGCCATCTACTCTTCATGGAAAACGTAAAAAATAGCAGTAGACTGATCCCTCACGAATTTACTCCTCAGAAATCAGCAAAGAGGTTGGAAATTTAAAAAAAATTATTGAAAAACCCTTGAATGAAAAACAAAAAAAAAGAGTTCTTTGACAGCCATCTTCAAGAGTGGGATCTAGCAATTGTCTAGCAGATGGCTAATGATAATAGATAACAATGAACTATACTGAGTATTTGTTGTATTTCATATTAAAGAAATAATTATACAAATATCTGGTTGAAAAACGGTTAATTTTTTTATACATCCTATTATCATCATTTTAAATCTAAGGAGACAATTAGGATTGTTATTTGAAGAAGAAAGTTATTTGAAGAAGTATAGTAATAAAGAAAGAAAAATAAACTTAATGTGGCAATTTTTTGTATTTAATTTTTCAACAGGACAAACGCTCTAAACTTCCTAACTAAATGAATTACAAACGACTCATATACATGACTATAATAAGACCTATTTGGACTTATGGAGTTGAGCTATGGGGCTTCACTAAACCATCAAATTCCTCTCGTATCCAATCATTACAATCCAAAATCCTTCGTAAAATCCTCAATGCCCCTTACTTGGTCACAAATAAAATAATCCATAAAGATCTCAATGTTCCATATGCTTCCGATTTGGCCAAATCCAGATACCTATCCTTCCATAATAAACTTCATAACCATTCGAATCCTCTCGTCTCTAACCTTGCTTCCTCTTCGATTCCTGATAACCCTCTGAGGCGTCTGAAAAGAAGATGGCCTCGTGATCTCCTCATGTAGACAAATTATTAGAGTGCTACCAATGGGTAGTTTCTCAACAAGCGTGTTTCATGTGATAATATTCCTCTGTACACATTTACTTGATGTATTCATACTAACACAGTTGTAAATATCATAATAAAAGTTAAAAAAAAAATATTTCAACAGTGTGAATGAGCTACTCTATCACTATTACTAGTGTTCTTGGATGTGACCGGTTGTAATATTTCTCAATAAAGAATTGAAGGTTTTCCAAGAATTGGTAAGGTATTTAGTGTGACACGTATTCGATATATTACTATTTCGAAAGTATAAACCATTACGTAATAATTTGTTGCGTTTTTGCCATAAAGTTTGAATTTTATAATTAAAACTAGAATATTTTTTGAGTAACTTGTATTTGATTGCTGTACTAATTTCAAATGTACACATTAGTAGAAGACGAACCTTGTTTAGAAAATGAAAGCTGTCTTTTTCTTATAAGAAAAGGAGACAAAGGACTTTCTTGAAACTATGATGAAATTAAGTGACTTCAAATTAGACATGATCTGTTGCACAGGTAAAGAATCATTGAGAAAGTTGTAATTATAATGTAACACTAGTAGAAGAAAATTGTTATAGAAAATGATATAAATATAAGCACAAAAAAAAAATATTTTACATCATTTGATAAAAATACACCGCTTACAGTTTACAAAAGCAGACTATTAGTTGAGAGCAGCTGCAAAAGTTTATAGTGAAAGCTCAAAGAAAATTCGAATCAGGACTTTTCGTATCTAAAGAAGAGAGTTTCTTAATTGACTGGATTTTGAATCGGTTAGTGAACCAACATTTCAAATAGAGTTGATTAGACTCCCATTATGGTCCATCAGAAGCATCTGGAGATGGGGCGATTATCTGCTGGAATTGGAGGATCTTCTTTTGTACAGGCGATTAGATTAAATGACAGTCTAGAGATTCATTTAAAGGCTGCTTCTGCTTTCACCCCAAGAGGAGGACTTGGAGTTTCTTAATGAAACACTGGATTCATTAAACGAAAGAGTGATGTTTAATTGGTTTGGCTTTAGATATTCCACTTCTTGTTTGAAAGCGTATAAACAATTATAATCAAATCCACTTAAACTGGCATTATTTATTCTTATTATTGATAAGGGAGTGGACTTTTTCTTTTTTTTTTTTTAAGGAATTTATTATAGTCTTTAATAAAGAAATTAAAGTTGAATGACTGTATTTACGATTGTATTCATGTTTATGTAAAACAATCAAAAATAGTTTTATCAATTAATCATTCCTGTTCCTGTTAATCTGATGTTTTTGCATACATCGGAACAGTTTTGGAATGGTATGGGAAAGTGGACTCGAAAATCCTATATACTTTATGGAGCTGAAAACTAGGTATTGACAGAAAAACAACAGATCAGAGAGACAGCTGCGGAAATGAGATTTCTCCAAACAATTCCGGAGGATGTCTTCTCAGCAATGAAAGGATCAGAGGAGAACTAAATGCCCTCTCCGTGAAGGAGTTTCTAGAGAGTCGCCAGCTGAAGGGCTTCGGCCATGAAGTTAGAAGTCAGGATAAAGGAACACCGATGTCCTGGATTGACAATGTCCTAGACGGTAGAAGGCCTCGAAGCCGACCAAGGATGTCGCACATGGATACATCGACCGTTAGAGAGGAAAAGATCTCTGCTAAGACTGAACCAGTAGCAAGAAATAGGACAGTGGCAATCCTGACTAAAAGAAGTCTTTTGTACATTTATACGTTTTATACATTACAATTTCCTGTTAAATATTTATTGCTTGCTTATGAAAAAATCTCTTTTTTTTTTTGTAAACTTTTTGAGATTGTATCGTATTTCTGAATGTTCGTCAGGCAAATATTGATCAGATAAACTAAAAAGTACACTTTCCAATAAACTTTATCTGTTAGTGTTTTGAAGTGTGGCGCTTGGAGTGAAAATGTGATTGACATATTTTCATTGTTTTTTCTATTTTTTCAGAACTAGACTTTTTTTCACGTAACTTTTCCATGACAGCTATTATCAGAAATTTAAAGTAACAAGCTTTTACATAGAAGTCATTCAATCCGCCAAAAAGTCAATCTATAAAATGGGAAAAGTATAATTCACTTAATTTAAATTAAATACGTTATAGCAGCCCAATCATTTAATGATCATTTTACATCAACTTTTTTTTAAGAGCATAATAAAAATTTCAACTTTTATCATTAACTAAATTTTGAAAATGACCTCCATTTTATGATTAAGCCACCGCGTTTTGACTTATTCAAGTTTTTTTGGATTTATTCAATATAAGGGTGTATTCTTATGTTTCCGGAGCCATAGATTTTGAAAATGACCTCCATTTTAAGATTACGCCACTGCGTTCCGACTTATATAAGTTTTACTATGCGATATAAGGGTCTACTTTTGTATTTCCGGCGCTGTGGTTTTTAAAAATGTCCTCCATTTTAAGATTAGGCCACAGTGTTTTGGATATTAGTATTTAATTTTTTTGAATCTCTAATATTTAAATTGATTTAATATTTAATCTACATTTTATTATTACGCCGCTGCATCTCGATTTATTAAAATTTATTCTTAAAATTGAGGTAATTTACAAAATCTATGGCTCCGGAAACATACGAATACACCCTTATATCGAATAAATCGAAAAACCTTGAATAAGTCGAAACGCGGTGTCATAATCATAAAATGGAGGCCATTTTAAAAATCTAAGTCTCCGGAAACATTAGAATACACCTTTATATTGAATAAATCCAAAAAAACTTAAATAAACCGAAACGCGGGGGGGGTATTCATGAAATGGAGGTCATTTTCAAAATCTACTTGTCCTGAGACATAAGAATACACTCTTAAATACAACAATAGTTAAAAATAATTTGTATAGTTTATTACAGATGTAGCAGCCAATGAATTAGATCGATTTACTTAGTAGGGTTAACCGATCATCATTCACTACAACACTATATGATGATAGATTGTGATGGAGGTGAAGTTGGTTATAAACTGGTTTGATCTATTGCAGTCAACGTCCCTTGAGGTTATATTGCAGACAATAATCTTTGGTTAAATAGTTCTATAGTTAATAGATTTACAAGATGAAATGATAATAAATTTAATTTATATGTCAGTAGATATCAAGACTGGATGAATGGAAACAGCGCTTCAGGAATCGCTTCGATGTATCATCCTTCTATCTAGCTAATACATTTTACAATGCTATGTTTTACTGTTATAATACCATGTTTTAATTTATTATGCGATCTTTTTTATTTTTAAATATTTAAGTTTCAATGGCTTTATCTATCTATTTATTTTTTTTATGATTTAATTTTTTTTTTTATGTTTATATAATCTTGTATCACAATTGATGATTGTCCTTAAATGTGGCGAATTATTATAATCATCGGTAAATACGTTTTACATGGGCCATTAATTATCGATTTATTCATTTATTAAAAGAGAGAGTTTTTTTTTTGTTTTTTTTTAAATATGATTCATTCAAAACAAAACTGAAAATGTTCAATAAAAGGAAAATAAATCTCGTTGCTACCTGAGAGAAATTAAGAATGAAGGTGTTCTTTCATAAATAAAAAATAAGTGATAATGTGTAAGAATACATTAATAAAACTATTAAACGATTACTAGAAATCTAGAATTAATTTTTTTTTATTTAGTAGAATTATGTATTTAATGTTTATATTTTGCTTTATTGTGCCTAAAACCACTTACTGTGCATGAAGATAAATGTCTTTACTAATTGCTCAATTTTCAAGACGTATAATCCGTTAAATCATTTAAGATTGGCAATTTTGGGCTGGGCGTGGTGTAGGTCTGAATACCGCCTGCAGATCCACGTATTTGATATGTATTTAATTTGCATAGAGCCATTTAAATGCTAAGTAGTCTTTCTTCTCTCGTTTAAAACAGAGAAATGTACAAACACCGTTTGCCCTATACCTTTCAACCTGGTCGCATAATTCAGGTCTTTTATTTCAACTTCCTGGTAGTTATACACCATGATTCATTTAAGGAGTGCGAACAATGGTGTAATTGGATTTTTCAAGAACTTTTATTGCCCTTTTGGATTTTTATTTACTAAATCCTAGTACACACTATACACATTGTTGCGCAATTTGTCTACAGACGGTCTCGAGACATTGACTATAGACTGTCAAGAGACAACGTTCATTGTCTCGTCTAGTGTCCACACTGCTATATGAATTTCTCAGTCACATCCTCGTAGCCCACCATGGAGGACAGGTTTGTGTGCAATGAGTTCCTGCTTAGTGCTAATTAAAAGTGAAAGAATGTGACAACGTAAACGTCCTGGCCTTAATTATTAAAATTAACAATAGGAGATCATAAGTTCAAAACTTAAACAGTTTATGAGCTGCACCATTTGTAATTATTTTTGTAATAAGGATTGATTTGTCTTAACATTTTTTTCGCTTGATAATAGTTTCTTTGTAATGAGTTATAAATGAATAATTTTATTCAGGAATTTTCTATTTCTTGTATCCTGAAACACAAGTATAATTTTTGTGACTTGCCTCACGTTCATTTATGCCATACAAAAAAGGGATTCTGCTGATTGTCAATAATAGACAGGTGGGGATAAATATATGTAAGTGCAAAAAAAAAAATAATAATATAGCTACTGGAGACAATTGTTGCTGTTTAAATATGTTATTTCTCCAGTAAAATATTTAAAAACCGGTGCAAGTTATTGCACAATGGTCTATTATTTCTCAATATTTTTGTATCAAATATGTATGGTGGGACAAAATATTCTTTACCATTTCTTAGAGGGGGGGGGGGGGAGATAAAAACAATATCTCTTTAAGATTTTTTTTTCATTTTTAATTAAAATATTGTAGAAAACCAATTTATTCTTCATGCAAAAATCTCAACTTTTTCCGTAGATATATTTCTTTTCGATTTATGAAATAAAAGAAATCTTCAAAATCGACGTAGCATTACATATTATCAGGTTTTGAAGATTTTTATTTTTATTTTTATTTTCAAGTGATTTTTCATCTTCCTAATAACTATTGCGTCATTTAATGATTATTAGAAAGATATACAATTTCTAATAATTATTAAATTACGTAATTGACCCAAATTTTTTGTACATTTTAATGTATTCGCCAATAATATTTTGCATTCATCTTAATTTTTTTCCAGTTTATTTTCGGAAGTGTGTCCTATACATAAATCTATATAGCTTCAAAGAGAGGACTTTGGGGAAGTTACACTAAAATCGTTCCAGTCGTTTTAGTCCTACATTCCACAGCGAAACAGATTTTTCGATCCCCATGTTAAAGGAAAGGGTGGGTGGTTATCTGTTTGATAAATCATTTCGGGTGACCTTTAAGTTCGGTCCTAAATCGGGAAAAAAAATATCGGCGTGCAATCTCTGTGGAAAGCCGCTGAGTGCAATCAAATTTTTTTCAATAGGATATTCAGATTCCATGTTTATTGAAACGTAAAACCACAAATTTTAATGATATGAGACATATTATATTGATTCATTATTGAAAACAAAAAACCAAAATAGTTCATTTATTAAAAGCATAACATTTTTTTTTAAATACAAAATAACACTAAATAGTTGTGTAGTTTAAATTAGGGTTTTCTTCAATAAATAAAGTAAAAATTCCGAAAAACGAACTTAAAAGTCGAAATCCATCTAAAATGGACTTTTACAATAAACTATATCGTCGGTTCATGGAAAAAAAATCGTATACATGAAAAAAGTTTATATACAATTTTGCAGATTTGTTGTATTGTATTTTTATAATGAATTTTGTTAGTATGTATATCCAGAAATTTTAAATTCATATGTTGTAGAATTTCATATTCCTCGGCTCCACAATAACTTCAATTAATGACCAACGGACGGAAATAGACCAGCGTTACGGAAGTTAAGATGGGGGGGGCATGTAGCTCGTAACAATCCATCTGGAAGCTTCTAAATAACAATAAATGTCCCAATTGAAGGCAAAAGACCACGTGGAAAGGCAAAAAGCTGATGGATAGATATAATTAACAAAGATGAAACAGAGCTGAGTGCAGATAGGGGAAAGAATTAGCCCAACACATGGAGAGATGGAGCAAGCAGGCTTGTTAAGGTGGCAAAAGATCTACATGATCTGTAATGCCAACATAAAAAGAAAAGTTGTAGAAGTTAAATTTCACTGCATGGTCACTTGCAATTAAAATTTGTTGAAGATGTTTCGGAATGTTGAAGATGTATTTTATGTCATCATGGCTTAGGAAAAAGAAGTTTGACAATTTTTTTTTTCTTTCATATCTCACACTCAATTGTTCTAAACATGTCTGTCCATAAAACAATAGGGAGATAAAATGGCGGTGAGGTCAAGAATAAAACACTTATTTGTGTGTTTGCGTTTCAGGGGTAATTTAATAATATGCTTTAAATATATAAGATATATTTCTATTCCCATCCAATTTTAAAAATCTGTATTAAAAAAACTTACATCTACATTTTTTTTTTGTACTGCAATGTAATGCTATGTATTGAACTTAGCCTAATGGCAATTAATAATATTTAAAAATAATGTCTAACACCTGGGCGGGTACCTGAAACCCCCGACCCAACCTTTTGTAAGTGGTTACTTAGATAGTGGTCGGGATACCTGATAACCCCCTGAGGTAATCTTTTAGCACTCTTGAGAATATTCTTAGCACACCCATTAGCAATAGAAGTACTTGACGACACATGTCGGCCAAAAACACCAAAGGACCAGTCTTATGTTTAAAGAGGATCAAACAGCTTTTAACTCTTAAGCATAGGAAGAAACGGTCGTGTACCTGCTAAAAGGGGTGTGTTCAACATATTGCTGGGGGTGTGGTCATCCTTTCTGCTACAAAAATTGAACCAATCAGAAAAGACTACCAAAAGAGAGGGGATGAAGAAAGGTGGAAAATATAGAACTTGGACTAAGACACTTCTTTCTGGGACTCAGCTGAGGACAGCTGGATGAGGAGAGGCTGATAGAAGAGAGGCCTGATGTAGCTGCCCGGCCCTGAGGAGGTCCCTGATGTTTTCTTCTAGCTGGAGGACTGAAACATGACCCATGACTTTGCAGATGCAGCCATGCCCTCCACCACTTCTTAGACCACCACCACATATTAGATAAGTAATTCCCAACAATTCGTTTAAAGATATTCAAATATTTAATGGCAATGTAATTTTAAATTCCATCCCTCTGAATCATGCCATCACAACCAATTGTTTAGTTCATTAATTTTTGTAAATATAATGTATATAACATTCTTTCTTATATAATTTGTAAATAAATATAATTTGTACATAAAAATTATTTTAATTATGCCACCTATTGCTCTCATTATAAGCACAGGTAATTAATTTCCCTCCACATGTGGAGGGGATAGGATTGGTTCGGAGATCACCTGGCAAATTGTAAATAATGTATGTTTTATATAAGGTGTTTGTTTTACTTTCATTTCTATTTTTATTTACTTATGTGTATATATATATATTTTCTTTTTCTTTACTCTTTTGTTCTTTCTTCTTATTCTTTTGTTATTACTTTATTTATTTATATTTTTGTATATACGGTATGAATACATCTCTGAAAATTACTATAAAATGGGAGATTTGAAATAGAAACGTTCATTTTTTTTAAATAAGAAATTTCCAAAACTGCTATAATGTACTTTTTCTTTTTCTAAGGTGGTCGAAAAATATAGACATTTCCAAATACTTACGACTAAATCTATATACATAACTATGACGCATTTCGTATTATATTACATACAGAGTCATATTCCTGACAAATCCAAAAAAGCTTTTTAGTTCAATAGCTTTTTTAGGTGATTGATAAATTTTTAAGTATTAGATATGTTCAGTCACTTCCTCATGCTCTCTTATTCCTTTTTTTAATATTTACCAATCGATTAGATTAATGTAAACAGTTAAATATTTAAAATATATTTTGTAATATTTATATTTCCCGTAATCTCTTAAAAATAAAAAACATGTAGATTAATGTTTTAATGAGTAGCAGTGCGAGATTATTAAATTAATATTCCATATTGTAGAAGTATGTTATAATTATGGTAATCAATATAATTTAACTTGGTAATTAGAGAGTTGCTTGTGTCGACATATTTGAATTTCATGTATGGAAATTTTCAATAATCGATTGCATGAAGGTTAAACAAAAGCCTTATAATGTTGTTTGCTTTGACTAACGTTTAA